CACTGTCACAATCACTCCATGAGAAGAGCTAAAAATAATATTTTATTCCAACTTTATGAGCAGCAGTGTAAATATTAATGAAATGAGATGAAATGAATGCTGCTCAGCTTCTTGGGAACTCATAAGAAAACTTTAAAGCAACTGTCCTTGGGTGGTGCTGCGTTTACAATCCACAGGAATCATCTGGTGATGTTAGAAACCAGAAAACACATGCAGGTGGTTCATCTGACCGCTGAACCGTTCTGCTTAAACAATCTGATTAAAGAGGAGCAGAGCAGGAACAGGAAGCCAATGAGATTGTTCCAGTGCACACAATAATAAATACATTTCATAGGATGTGGAGCAAAAGTCAGAGGTAGTAGATGATGGTAAACCTGCTCAACTGATCTCCAATCTCTAACCTAGAGAGACACACGGAAATTGGAAAAAGAACAATAAGTCAACATCCGATTAATCCCCGGAGCATGAATGCAATCAGACAACCCAAACATCTTTATACAAAACCTGAATCAAGCTGCCTTCCTTTATCTGTGCTGGACACATGCAAACATACATCCCTGCCTTTTTTCCAGCCTTCAGATTTCCCTGAGCCAGATATATAACTGACTTTTTAAATCCCTCGTGTATATAACGGCTTGAATTCGACGTCCCACACAGGAACCTGAAGCTCGTGAGGTAAATCCGCTGCCTTCACACAGTCCATGAAAGGTTTCAAACAAAAGGTCCTGTTTAGCAAACTGGTCTTTGTTCTAAATGTGAAACACTGACAAGTTCATCAAGAAAACCAACGTTTGCTTTGTTTTTTTTCCTCCTTATTGAGCTGAAGAAAAGTAAACAGAGTCTCCTCCAGCTCCTCCGAGCTCCCCGTGTTCCAATAATTACCTTCCCGGGATGTTCATTCTGCTGTTTCAGGTGTTTTGAGGAGAATCTCAGTTGGAAAGGTCAAACTCTACTGGTGCTGCAGTGGTGTGTGATCACACAGCCTTTGTCGCTTGTATCTCAACAGCAGAGTGGCGCAGCTGCAGATCACGGCGCTGCTGCTAAACGCAATTCATCACATATCATTTTGCCACACTGCTGCGGTTACTGAGCGTGTACAGCGTGCATTCTAATGCGCCGCGTGCTCGGGCAGGAACACGCCTCTGCAGATGTGTGTTTGAATTATGTGTCTGGTTGGCAAGTCCCACACTGACATCACAGCTGGACTGTGACCGAACATCTGTAAGATGTGGGAGAAGCAGAGTGACAGATACGCAGCAGAGCGGAAAGTGGAGATGGATAAGTTAATCCTGAAGTTAATCCTGAATTACAGCTGCTGGATGGAGACAACCCAGGTTTAAATTATATGTAAATATAAAATAATGACGACGACATCAGCCAAACGTTTTAGCCTTAAATCGCTATGGTGGCATGTTAGGGTGATCTAGCAAAATATTTCTGTATTTCTACTGACCAGGATGCTTCATACAGTTTTAGATATCCTCTGAAATATTAATTTCATTCATTTTGAAGTGGCTGTAATCACGACGGGGGCCTTTGAGCCAAGTCCATAACCCTGTAAACCGATGCTTGGTGTCAACGAAACAACAACAAAAAAGTTTTAAAGCAGATCAGCTTCTTATTAATACTGCAGTGATATTTCTCTCTGAAGGGACGTGTGACCACAAACCACATCAGCAGAATTACTCTCACTACGGGAAACAACAACAACAAACTATGAGCAGCGACCTACACATTTAAAACGTGCTGCAGATTTGCGTCGTGCAAAAAGGCGGGGTTGCTCGATTCTTCTGGTGAATGGCTGTAAAGATTTGTGAAGGATATCTTTGTAACTCTGGCTGTCTAACTCGGACATCCTTTCATGTTTTCCTGCTAGTTATGGAGGAAGTTTCATTTTCTAAGCATGACCAATAAAAAGAAAGCCATGGTTTTTGTAGTGACCAAGTGGAAAGCCTACAGTCAAACGAGTCTTAACCCAAGACAACAGGCACCAGTCTGCATTATATTGTACTGAATCTACTGAACTATTCACTGGCAGCAGCAGATTGAAGGCCATCCTGCAAACATCCACATTTTTAAACAGACGATTGGGGATTCATACAAAGTGCATACGATGATCACCGCTTGCCAACGTCTGTGATTTAATGAGTCCTGAGAGCTCCTCCACAGCTAAAGTGTATTCAGGCATCACCTATTGGGCCCCGACTATCAAATCATGTTTGTCTGTTTTATCAGTTAAAGTCTTATCACACAGCTGACGGATGTCCTTCGTTAGTTTTTGTGGCGGATGATAAAGTTTTCATCTCCAAACCAAGAAGCCAGTTTCCTCCCATCAGTATGTCGCTGAGACGCAGTCGAAGCATCCTTGACTTCACCCTGACCAACACGAAGCTAATTGGTTTAAAGAAACACAAACAAGCCAGAGCTTTTTGTTCCCCTATAGCGAAACGATAATGACCTGCAGCCAGCCATTCTGTCGGACATAATGGGTCGGCTCAGCACGAGGAAAATGCCCCCTGCAGCACAACAGAGTCACCAGATCCTGAACTGGAGGCCTCAAGGACTCACATAAAGACACGACTTGAGTGCAAAGCATTTCCTTGTAACTAAAGTAATTATCAATAAAGTGCCAATAAAGTTTTAGAACATACTGAAGTTACTACACAGCAAAAGATTCCTGGAAAGCAGAAAATGCATTGAAGTTTAAATCTTCTACAAAATGTCTCCCTGTGATCCAAAGTCTGCAACGCTGACAGAAAATGAGATAAATCAGGCGTAACCAGTACCTCTAAACTATCCTTGTCTATGTCTGCTGTTGTTGCCTCGTCCTGTTTACTGTGTTTGTCTTCTTGTACCAGTGCTACATGATGCTGTTCTGTTCTGATGCTGCAGCACATTATTTATAAAACACTACTTTACAGTTTGAGGACATTCCATGAAAGTGTCTGAAAATAATCACTTTGTGTCTGCGAGGTTCCCTACCTTGCCAAGTATTCCCCCGAGCTGCCGTTGCTCTGTTGTACATCCATACAGTTGGTAGTCCCAGGTATGAGTGCCAAGGCGGGATTTTCCAGGGCTGCACTGCCCACAGCGCGAGCCACCAGCTCCAGTGAGTCGTGGACGTAGTGATCCAGAGAAGGGGATCCCATAACCCCGTGGGCCAGCAGCCCCAGGGGCAACCCCTCTGTTCTCAGCTCAGCCACGTTCTGGCTGTCCCCCAACACCCAGTGAAACTCCGGGAGCGTCATCCGGCTGGCCAGCGTCCACAAACGCCGCACCTCACGGATGTCGCACCCAAACGTCACCACTCCCGTTGTGGATGAAGGTTCTCTGAGGGCCTCCAGCTGCCGCATGAGCGCCTGCTGCTGGTCTGATTTAGACGGGGTAGTGGATGTAGAAGAGGACGACAAAGCAGCGGGGGGAAAATAGGCTAACGAAGACAATGACGATGACGCCTCTGCTCCCACTGGGACACCCGACGCCACCGCCGAGGACGATGATGATGATGATGCAGTCGATGAAGGCGACGGGGTCGAGGCGGTGGTCGTCAGGTTGACGAGGGTTCCCAGGTGGAAGCGGGTGTTGTTCTTGATGAGGAAGAGGAAGTCGCTGATGTTCCACTCCTGGCAGAGCAGAACGCTGATGTCCCACCAGCCGTTCATCATCAGCAGCGAGTAGAGGAGATGGGACGTCGGGGCCTCCACGGTCCGCATCGCGATTTGGAAATGGAGAGGATTCTGTGACGAGTTTGTAAAAGGAGAATGAGTGTAAAGGGAGTTGGACGGGCAGATGGTACGGGACAGGAGAGAAAAAATGGAAGTTTGAAAGTCAAAGCAAAAGAAAACAGATAAAAGTACGGGAAGGGGAGCGAGTGGAATCAGAGACGTTGAGATAAAGACGATGGATAGTTAAACAAATAAACAGAATTAGATGGAGGGAATAAAAATAGAAGGGATGACGAAGGAGGAGGGCAAAGAGTTAGAGAGAGACAGATGGATTTCACAGAGTTCAGAGAGATGAAGGGAAGGACGACACATTCACAGATGAAGGATATTGTGAGAAAGAGCCAAATAAGGATAATAAAGAGATGTAGATGTGAGTTGCAACGGTAAGCAAGAGGACAGAAGGTTGGAGAGAGACAAGAGGATGATTCACCAGGAAGGTGAAATGTAGTAGAAGGAAGAGGAGAAGAATTAAGGAAGGAAAGAAAAAAGAAGAGAGGTTAATAAATCCACCAGTAGAATTACTTCCAATTTTAAAATTCAATTTGTTCCTTGAGAACAAACACAGTCTGCTGGATATAATGGATTTCAACCTCCACTTACCTGCTCCCATGAATATCATTATTCACATCATAAGAAATGCACTATATCTATTTTATGTGCACTCACTTCTTTTAGCAATCCCCTAAACTCCACGAAATACAACCGGGATCCATTTCAAAACAGCCCCTTTTCCACATTCGGTTCCATGTAATTTAATTTACACCTGTGATTTGCGATTCATAAATTCATCATTTGATTGATGAGGCCCGGACAGACGGGGTGAAGCAGGGCGCCCATGTGTGAATCCCACTTGGACCTTGAATGTTGAAGTGTGCTGTCTCAGAGTGGAGGAAGTCGCTGGGATGGAAATCCACCAATTGCCCAAAGCAAAGCACTAAAGCCTTGAGCTTTACTATTTTTTAAAGAAATGTCTAAAAGCAGCATCACAGATCCACACCCAGCAGCAAAACCAGTGATAGGTGCAGCACAAAACCCCTGATTATCTCATTATGGTGGCATCTGTGAAGGAAGGGAACGCATCAGGCAGCAAATGAACAGTCAGGTCTTGAAGCAGACGTGTTGGAATCAGGACGAATGTGAGGATCTCAGTGACTTTTGACAAGAGCTAAACTGTGATGGCGAGACAACTGGGTCAGAACGAGGAAGGACAACCAGTGAACCAGCCACAGTGTCACGGGCTCCCGAGGCTCACTGATGCATGTGAGGAGTGAAGGCCGGCCTGTGCTTTGCGATTTCACAGAAGAGCTTCACAAATAGTTGAAAACGTTAGCGCTGGGTGCGGTAGAGAGGTGTCAGAACACACAGTGCATTGCAGGCTGCTGCATACAGAGCCGTGCAGCCAGAAAGTGCCTCTTCTTGCACCCGTCCGTCGCCAAAAACAGCAACAATGGGCACATCAGCTGGAACACGGAGCCATGGAAGCCGGTGGCCTGGTCTGATGAATCACACTTTTCTTTTCACATCATGTTGATTGCAGCAGAATGCATTGTGGGGAGAAGGCAAGCTGGCAGATGCAACGTGATGCTGGTCCTGGTGTTTATGTTCCAGCTACCTGAACAGACTGAATACACCCCTTCATGGCATCACTGATCAGCATGACAACCTCACTGCAAAAACTGTTGGAGGAACACGAGAAGGAGTTCAGGGTGTTGACTTGGCCTCCAAAACCCTCCAGATCTCAAACCAATTAAGTATCTCTGGGCTGCGAGCACAAGTTCGATCCACTGAAGCCACATCTGGCAACTTACAGGACTCAAAGGATCTGCTGCTAACATCTTGGTACCTGATGACACAGGACACCTTGTGGAGTTCCTGCCTCGATGGGTTTACGGCTACATGTTGTGTTAATGTTGTGGCTGGTCGATGTACGCGGGGCAAATGTCGCGATTGTTCCTCCTGCTCTGAGTGTACACGCTGATGCCGTTCAATAGACTGAATCAATAAACAGGATCTCATGGAGTGCATGTTTGTAAAGGAATTGCTAATTGGGAAACGGGCCTCCTGAGATTTTAAATGGGCTTCAGAGGAGAACAACTAAATGTTCTACTAAAGGACCATAAAGGTGAGGTCACCTGTTGGCCCGTTGGGGACTTATTTGGTGTCTTTCACACTGCAGTTGGCAATTTTCCAATCTGAGTAGTACATTTTAAGACTGATTCCCTTCCTTCCAGCCCATCCATCCATCGTCTATACACCGCTTAATCCTCACTAGGGTGGCAAGGCGCTGGAGCCTATCCCACCTGGACAGGTAACCAGTCTATCACAGGGCTACACTTAGAGACAGACAACCAAGCACACTCACATTCACACCTACGGACAATTTACAATCACCAATTAACCTCAGCATGTTTCTGGACTGTGGGAGGAAGCCGGAGAACCCGGAGAGAACCCACGCTGCACGGGGAGAACATGGAGACTCCACGCAGGAAGATCCCGGGTGTCCTCACCGGGACGTGAACCAGTGACCTTCTAGCTGTGAGGCGACGATGCTAACCACAGTGCCACTGTGCAGCCCCTCTCAGGCCACAGATGGTCCCATTTCAGTGGGTTAAATCACCTCATAAAGACTCTAAATTAGCTTGAAGTTGCTAAGCTACAGCAAAACACATTCTTACACATTTTGGTCATAGTACTATTTTCACGTGATGTTCAAAACCATTGAGAGAAGTTTCCTCTGTTGGTGCGCTGACGTCTGCTCTGTGAGAAACGTTTGCTGAAGTTCTAAATGAACAGCTGAATGCACCACCAGTGAGTTTACAATGAAAGCACCACACCGTAGTCACTGGTTTTATATTTATAGCGCAGATGAAATGATGTGAACAGGATCCCTTCTAGTGAATGAACCAACAGTATTCTCACCCACTTTCTTTTGTAAGTCTTTTTTTAGCTCTTTGCTCTGGTTTTATGGCTCACAGCTTTTAAGGAGTAACAGCGATAAACTCACTGCACATTAAAGCACTAAATAGAAAAGCAGTAGTTGAGCATTTAGCTGCTAACAAGGCACATTATTTCCTTCAATAGCTTCCAGACAACAGGTCAGAGCTGAACGGAGTGAACTTCTTCATCGTGTGACCAAAAACCTGCACAAAGGAGCAGATTCGACTGTTTCAGTTTGTTCTGCATCGCGTCCAAACCGCACACTGTTTAACCGACTGTTATGTAACTCCATCGTGGAGAGTAATGATCTGAAATCAATAGTTTTCTGGAGGTCTGGACATAAGGTTGATTTGCTATAAATATAGTTAAATATGGAGGAGAAACAGGCAAAACCGGTCGAACTGACTCGCTCGGTGCCGCGATGCTCAGGCTGCTACGCATACGGTGAGCTGCACCTACACGAATATATGAGGCCACGAGATCAGAGCGGATACGTTTCAGAGTTGACACAGTCATCCCTGTAATGCTTTAGATGGAATTAAATAGGCCGGTCTGGGCTGCATGAGCTGCCAGATCTATTTCAGTAGAGCCTGGCATACTGTAACCAACACACACCCTGGCAATCACTCAACCTGGTTTGTTTGCATGCACGCACACACACACACACACACACACGCAGCTGCTTCAAAGACCCTCTGCTGCTCCGTTTAATTGACTTTACTACTTTTGCACCAGCTTTGCACTAAAAGTCCATCAGATAAATCTATTGGTTCATTTCATTTATCCCATTAATCACTCCGCCCAACAGGCATGCAAATAACACCACATTCATCTGCTTTCTGGGACGGGATTAACGCCGCAACAAAAAAAAGTAGCAACAAAAGCAATAATACGTGTTTTCTTTCAGAAGTCCCGCATCAGGCTACGAAATGTGAATGCAGTCCACGGGGCATCAGACTCTCCTCACCTCCTCTCATCCCCCGGGAGGATTTGAGGATTTATTCTCAACTGCAGCACTTGTGCACTGTGATCTCCATAAATCTGTAACCCTCGCTTTGTTTCTCATGTAAATAAAAAGAGGAGGGAAGAGAAAAAAAGAAGCGACTGCTGGGAAGTGTGGCTGCCGTCTCTCTTACATAAATACAGAGATCTGCTGCTTTCGATGCACCGGGAAATCCCAGCTCTGTTGTCACCGCGCTCGCTTTCATCACGCCTCTCTCCTCACAAATCATTTTTCCTCCTGTGATTTCCACATCCAAAATACATTTGCTGTGACTTGTTGTGCAACGAAACTCTTTGCTGGATGCTACAAAATAATAAAGAAGAAGAAGAAGAAAGTGACGGAATCAGAAGCTGGCGGACAAATCAAATAAACCGGTAACGACTGGGTTATTGATTTGTCTCTGATTAGATGATTCTTTGCGGGAAAAGTGTGAAATAAGAAATGAGTTTGTGTTATTTTCTTTAAACCAGTTTGCAGAAGTTTTCTTTTTTAGAAAACTATCAAGAAGCACATGTTGGAGATATTGCCTGTCCTCAGGGGTCTCACTGCGCCTCCATTCATAATAAAAAAAACATCCTTACAGTCTCTTTAATCCTGCGACGACCTTGCCTCGGCTCCCTTTCATCCCACTGACCTGCTTACGTCGCCGGCACAGTTATTTATGAAGGCACAATAAAAAAGGCAACGGATACCCCCCGCAGTCAGCAATCATTCATCTGTTATCCCCAACAAAAGCTGAGGACGTAATTACTGCGATGTCTAATCAGCGCAATCTACAAATTAATTGATCAGCGTGTGAGATAAAAACATTCCACCCTCGCCGTGTGTCCTTCGGTGTCTTTTGTGTTATTTTCTTCACAGTGAAATTCTTCCTGACAAAAAGCATCCGTGAGCTCAGACGTCAGAAAACGACGACTTTATTAGAATGACTTTAGTTCCGGGTTTAAACCTTCTGGGTGAGTTTGCGTGTTCGCCTTGTGCCTGAGTGGATGTTCCTCAGGTGCTCTGGTTCCCTCCCAGTCCTAAAACACGCCGTCTAAATTGGCTGTGGGTATTAGCGCATTGTTGTCTGTCTCTCTGCGTTAGCGCTACGATGAACTGGCGACATGCCCGGGGTGTGTCCCGCCCAACATCCAGCCCCTCGTGAACCTCCACAGGAAGAAAGAATAGCGGCTAAGTGATGGATGGAAGAAAAGCAGATCGCTCCCTCAGACTCAGCCTGTCAGCAGCAGTGTTGTTGTGTTTCTTGCAGTGTGATCTTTGGTTTTCAGTAATTTGGAGCTCAGAAATAAAGTGCTCTGTCTGAAAACGACAAATTCTGCTTAGCGGCGATCAATATGACCCAGATGTAAGGCGGCGTCTGCAGAAGGAGCTGTTTGAAAGCATACATTTATGGCTTGCTTGTGTCCTGCAGAAGTCCTAGCACACACTGCTAGTTCCATTATTGCAGCTGTTAATGATATATGTGCAAGTACAACACTCCTATCAGCAAAGAGTTTTGCAGAGCTGCGATTCCACCGGTGCACCTCGACACAGAAATAAACTGGCTCCGACGTGCACATCTCATGCCTCTATCGATGACATTGCCAATCCACATGCCCCACATATAGTCCTATACATAAACCTTCTGACATAACAGAAATAGCTGCAACACATTTAACGCAAAAGCATACATTCGTGCATAATCGGATTAAGCAGCAACATGTTGGCTCCAACCCTGTCAGCAAAGACGCTGTGTCTCAATTTACCACAAGCTGGAGTGTTGTCGGCCCAGCATGGGACAGACTTAAAAACTAACTCCTCATATCAGGAACTACTGGAGAGTTTCCTTTTCTCCCAGAGTTTCTCAGTTCCTGGTCTTTCATATGCTAAATTCCCAACTCTGTGCTATCAGAAAAAAAGAACCCCTCTCACCACCAACTCCCAGCCCAGTTCCCTCCACTCAGAGGTCACTTTATCCTTTGCTCCATAAGCTCCGTATTCTCATGCAGCCTCATCATTTTCGACGCTTACATAACAAACTGTGGGCCGATCACATTATCAAAGGTTTCTGGGTGATTCATTGTACGAATCTGAACTCTGCTTCACTCTGACTGTAAACTTTGGTGGGATGAAAGAAGTCAAAGGTCAAACAAAGTCAGAGAAAAAATCACTAACGAGATCCTCTCAAGACATTCAGAAAGTTTTCACATTTCGAAAAAGAAAAAAAAACACACCAGACTGTTTTGGTGAAATTGCTGTCAGCCTTCAGTTGGGATTTGCTGGTGAAACTAGATTGAGTCAGAGGGGAGTTAAGCCATTTCTCTAGACGTCTCACACGAGCACTGCTCAGTCTGCACGCCTGTCTGTTTCCCCGTCAGTCCGTCCGTCCTGCCGTCTCTCCACCCGCCCCTCCATCAATCACCGTCTATCCGTTGGCTTGTCGGCTTCATCTATACCTGTTATTTCACTTGGAGGAACCGGATTCGACTTTAAACACCTGCTGGCTCCTTACAGAGAAATGCTTCCTTGTGCACAGAGCAGGAAATTAGATATTACCGCACACAGACACACACAAACACGCACACAGACACATTACTATAGCCCAGTAGGTGGCAAGTATCCCAGAACCCTTCAGTCCAACTAATGGCTTCGGATGTGTGTGTGTGTGTGTGTCAGTGTTGGGGGGAAAACAACAGTGATGCTCTTTGCCCCTCCCAGGACGGTTGTGTGGAGAAAGTCAAAACACACATTTTGTTGGTCTGCTCTCATTGCTATGCTGCAACTGCAACGTTAGCGTCGCCCAATTAAACCGGTTTACAGTGCCGAGTTACACTAAATCATTTTGTGTGTTTGTGTGCGTCTACTTGTTCCCACACACACACACTCGCCAGGTGTTTTCTCCACAGAGTGATTATTGATGAACCGTCCCGCTGCCGAATTTAAAGTGTTTACACTTTTAACTAATTTTCTTCTCGCGTCTCGTTCCAGCTGCAAACTCCACCGATAATCTTCAATTAGCGTTTTTGGTGCAAGAGTCGATTCTGCAGCTAAAAAAAAAAAAAGAAGAAAAAGAAGAAGAGGACCAGAGCTGATCTGCTGCTAACAGCCAAGTCTGATTCTCATCTCATCACATGAACTAAACCGCTGCAGCCTCCCAACCTTCCCCACAAATCCATAATGGAGACAGATAAAGAAACCGTGATAGCAAACGGATAACGGTCATTAAAAAGCCGCAGGATTTAATATATTTTGTGGTAAAATGGTGTTTCGGTGCCAAGCTGGTGCTGATAATGGATTATATACATGACATTGGGCAATCGAATGCCAGAAGTGGGAAAAAGTTAGAAAGCTATTGTAAAACCAATTTTCTGTGAGGTTCACTCTGTTATTCACTGTTCCTTCACCTCTGCAGCGGCTAAATGACAGAAATGTTATCCAGCTCATAGTGGTTCTGCATGACTGGTCTCTTTTTTTCCTCTCTCTCAGACACAACAGTTGTCCAGGAAGCAGTCAGAGATTTGAGTTAAGATTGATCCAGAGGCTCCCTCACGGTCGAGTTTCCCGACAGCATCCAGTCGGTTTATCGGGTGTGTGTCTGATATTTACTGGGATAGATAAAAAGTTATTATCTCTTTGTTGGAAGGGAAAAGGTGTCACGTAACCTGGGACCTGCTGGAGCGTGTGAGCTCATCCTAACTGTCCAGACGTCACCACACCGGCTCATTGCAGAGTGTTTTCACTACACAGGAGCTGCTGAGCTCTGCCTCTCCTCACACACACAGTGGGATTCTGAACATCAATCAACAAAGCGTTTGTTTGTGCATATATATGTGTACCTCAGGGCATGTGCTGCTGGGTGCACACAGGCCTCCATCAAACATGCTAACCTCCTCCAGAACAGCAGCAGACAGATGCTCTCCTCTGCACAGACAGCCTGCCTGCATGTCAGCACCATGGACAGAACCCGCCTGCCTGTTTTTTTTCTTCTTGGCTCAGTTTGAAGCAATCGAAGCTTCTCTCAGACTTCCCAATTTCATGCTTTATGTCAAAATCGAGAACACAGCAGCTTGTGTCGCCAAATTGTGTCACCACTTAAGCTTCATTGGAGCCTTTTAACCAAGACTGCTGAGATCAATGCTGAGCGAGAACAGAAATGAAGTCCTGCGTCTGAAAGGATGTCAAATACATATTCTAGTGGAGGAAGGAGAGGATAAAGACCACGAGCCACAGGGGGGAGTGCCTCCCCCTCCTCTCTCCTCCGCCTCAAATGTTGGCCACTGATGGCACTTAGTGAATTAGGCCCTATAAATCCACACCAACCCAAGAGAAATAAATTTATTTTCAGTAAATTGAATTGCTTGTCTCCGTGGAGGTTGTTGTTGGACTCGTGCTGTAAACTTGGCTTTTCTTTTACACCTGAACTGGCAAAGTTGTGAAATCAACAGTTAACAGATGTAGCAGGGAAATAACTTTTCCTTTACCTGGCTGTGGCGCGAGAACTCCCTCTGCACGACGCTCACCACCGGCACCTGAAGCGCAACTGACACGAATTCCAACTTCACGAACTCGTCCCGGTTCCGCGGAAAGGCGAGCATGGCGGAAACCCCCTGCACGACCACCGTGTGACACACGCTCTCCACGAAGGACAGCGGGTCCTCGTTGTCGGGGATGCCCGGGGAGGAGAAGGAGAACGCGGGAAGCTCGCCGAGGGCGGATCCAACTGCCATGACGAGCTCCAGAGATAAATTGTAGGGCAGCAATCCGGCCCGGTTCAGAGCCTCCACGGCGAGCAGGACCGAGTCTCGGGGTGCGAACACGCGGTTCTCCTTCACGGTGCTCTCCTCCCGGTGCCGAGCCTGGCTTTTATTCCTGTTCGCGCCCCGCTGACTATTCGCGGCGGCTCTAGTCCTGAGGCTCCCGTATCCAGGCGCACTGGCACTTGTTTTAAACTCCAGCTGCTGCTGTTGCTCCCCTGTCACAGCTCCCTCGGCGTCCCAGTCCTCAGAACCGCTGCCAGCAGTGGCGGAGAGCAGGCGAGGCTGAACGTGCAGAGCCCCCAACCGAACCGTGTGGCCGATTCGTTTCAGCACCTGGCACGGCTGCGGGTGCGAGAGAGCGCACGGCGGGAGAAAGACGAGGGCGCACAGCAGTAGACATATCGGTGGCGAGACACCGCTGCCTGCTCGGGCTGCCGGGCCATTCATCATCATCTTCATCACCACCGACTTCATCCTCCCCGCTCCACAACTGCGCCGGATGCCCCGTCCACCCACTCAGCGGCTGAGCACCGGGGCCGCGCCGTTGGTCCCCCCGCTCCTGTGGCCCTGGCGTGGCGGTCAGACCAGCTGCAGCGCCTGCTCCGGCTCCCGCTCCGGCTCCGGCTCCAGCTCGCGGTAAAGTTGTGCGTTTCTCCTCGGACAACAGGCTGCTGAGGCGCAAAATGAGGCACGAGCCGCGCACAAGCGAAAAATGATCCCCAAAAGTGCCGTTTTTCATCTCAAAAGATTTTCATTATTCAAGCCTCTCTTTTTTTTTTGATTAGGCTGCTACACAGGTCCACATAATTTCCACATATTCCAGTGGTCGAGAAAAGAAAAAATAAAATGAAGCAGAGTGTGCAGGCAAGCCCAGAGGAGGAAATGTCGAAAAAAGGTTAATGCGCATCACACACATTCCAAAACAGTGAAATCCACCAGTGGAGAGAAAAAATGGCTTTATGGCATCGAAGGACAAAAAAAAAAAGAAATCATCCCATTATCATCCACAGCGCAGGGGGCCAAGACAACAGCACTTCTTCTTCTTCCTGAGATTTAAAAAACGTTTTTTTCTCCTTGTTAAACACCAGAGTAGACGCTTTCCAGAGCGCAAGCGCTGCTTGGCTCGAGTCCACCTCTGTACTGACACTTGTACTGGCGAGACCTCCGGCACGGGAGCGCGGTCTTTCTGCACACGTTCCAAGGAGATTTAACCCCGTCCTCACTTTACCCCCCTCCAGAGCCGCCCCCCAACCTTACAGTGGGAAAGAAGTTGCATAATAAACAAGCACATGGGCAAAAAAAACCCGCCTGCTGTTTACAAGCCTGTAGGTTATGTTGTGCATTCACAATCCAAACGCGCCAAAAAATGACATCAATTATGGAAATATTTGTGAGATTTTGCTGCAGATAGTCTGTGTGTTCAGCCAATTTTACGCAGAACCAGACAGCCGCCTGCTCCTAATAAGATTGTTTTATTTAGTCATGCTTACAGACACATAATGAAACTATTAAAAGGTGCTGAAGGGGCGAAAGCTTCCCTGATGTGCATCCTTGTTCCTGAGGTAACCCGCAGGTCAGAGGTCACAGCTGAGCCAATCAGCAGCCTCAGTGCGCACAGCCACCCAGATTAATGATTGGTTAATGTTCTGATGTAGATTAATGATTGGCTAATGGTCAGGCTTCAGAATGAGACGCATGCCTACCGGGATATTAGAAGATCGATGCGCCCTGATCGATCCAATACAGGGCTGACCTCAAAGGATGGGAAGGTAGAGGAGGGAGAGAAAAAATGAGAGAGAGAAAAAGAGTCAGGAGATTTTGACAGGGGAGGAGGCAGGAGATGGTGGCTGTGGGGGACAGGAGGAGCTGCAGAGGCTGTGGTGAAGGAAGATGGATAAGAGGGGAGTGATGGGAGGAGAGGAAGGTGAGGAAGGGGGAGGCAGGGAGAGAGAGAGAGAGAGGAGCTGCAGCCTCTTTAAGGAATCAAGGGTATCAGCAAAACGAGATATTTTATCGAAGAAACCAAAAACAGAGAGGGGAGAAAAAAAAGGGGAAAGAAAATTGCATTTAGAGATATATTCAAGGTGAGATTGTGCTCAAGAGTCTTCATTGCACCAAAAGAATGAAAGCAATTCCTTCTGCTTTCTTTTTTTTTTGCTCTGTGTTGGATATCAGGCCCGTCATATGCTGCAGAAGGCTTTCAAAAAGGCTTCAGAGTCAGAGTGTTAATTCTAATTCCAGCTCTTGATGAAAAGACAGTTCAATCACACAAATGTTGAAGATTACCTCTGCCATTTGAATTAAGCTCAGTGGAGGAAAACTCGCTCGTACTGCTCTCTGGAGGAGACTCGTGTTTGTAGGGACTGTATGGACACACATGTGGGAGGGTTGTTGGAGATCCAGATAAAGGGAGGAGAAGCCAGACTGCTGGGAATTACAATCACAGTGTATTAATTAGAAGGCTTTTGAGGACACTTTTGGCCAGATGACAGTCGCACTTTCATGTCAGTGGATCTTATTGCCAAGCACTCCTTTTGTTTCCCCACAGCTTCAGTAAATTTATAACAAAACATACAATTGCAATGACTATAGTAAGTAAAGTGTGACTCATGTGTTAATGTAGGTTCAGCATCACAAGCTGCCAACTTGTTGAAATTCTGAATGGATTTCTTTTAAGTTGTTTACCTTCCAATTACAGACGATCCTGTGCATGACAACATGTATGATCATTTAATTATGTCACATAATAGCTAATGAGCTCCTGACCAACCTAAAAAATAAGCTTTACTAAGCCTCTAACTTTTTATTTTTCCCTCCTGGCAGCAGCTCTGTCTGTCTACTTTCCGTTTCTTTACGTAACCTCTTGTCTCTCTCTCTTTGTACCTGGCCGTCCTAAAGTCTTTCTGTCTGCAAGCTCATCTGATTTCTCGTACCTGTCCCTTTACCCAGTTGGCACGTCTATAAATCCGCCCTGTCTCTTGTACCTGTGCGAATATCTGTCTGACCTCTGTCTGTTTGAATATTCATCCACGTTCCTGCATCTGCTTTGGTTGTCTGATTTGCTGACACCCGTCTACCTGCCTGTCGATCTGCCCATCTGTCTGTCTCTTCTTTTTTTTTTTGCTCCGTCAGCATCATTGTGCAACCGTCTGTCTGTCTGTCTGTCTGTCTGTCTGTCTGTCTGTCTGCGTCTCTGCCGGGCTGCTCGCTGTTTGGTGCTGCTGCAGACTTTGCTGCCACCCAGATCCCTCCATGGTTCAGCTCTCCGTCCAGTAACAACAATATGAGCAGAAGAAACCTAAACAATTAAATAATAATAATAAAATAAAACATGAAGGTGACAGAAGCTGTTGGACACACACCTGATCTCACTGGCATGAGACATGAAAACAGACGACGGACACAAAATCCTTCCATGCATACAGATTCACTGATTTACATGAAGAAATAGAGGTCGCTGAATTCTTTGCAAGGTCCCAAATGGCATCTGAAGAACAGACGGGCTAACGAAGAAAACAGTTGTGTAAAATATCTGCACTTTAAGAATTAGAGTAAACTTTAAAAAACAAATCATTCATATTTCCATTGTCTAACCAGGTACAAGACCCTGGAATATGTTATCACAACAGGAACCATTAATGGGAGAGAGGACGAGGCAGACGGACGGACATCATGGCTGCACCTGGAACAGTTCAGAATGCAAAAGATCGGATTAGACGGAGAGAAGTGATTGTCTACGCTGGACGGCATGGCGCTTCATTGATTGATTGATTGACAAGCTGCTGATTAAAGGGCAACCAGGCCAAAAGAGCAGCAACAACAAACATAACTAATACCTACAAATACCAGAGGGTGAACACAACATCCATAAGGGACGACGGATTAGAGACCAGGCACAATATCAGAAATGAGTTAAATTTAGGAGCAATCACACCGACAGAGAGTACACATTTTCTTGATACTTTAATTTTTACTTAACGTCGTCCTCGGTAACCAGCACTGACACTTTCAGGGCCCTCTTGAGGCTAAAGGGGCATTGAAATGCTGTTGTGCCTAAATCAGCTCTGAATCTGAGGACAAAGGGTTTGTGGGATATTTTGAGAGAGCAGACTGTATTGATTTTGCTTCTACACATGTGTAGAGAGATAAGGAGGAACAAACCCAGAGCGAGGCTTATGTGTGCATATGTTAAAGCCAACTAGTGTGATAGTGTGCAGACATGCAGAGATAGCCACCTAGCTGCAGCATGTGTGGAGCAGTGAGCGTGATCTGCAGCATCCTGCTTCTTCAGATGCTTCTACGGTGTGTGCACAAAGCAGATCGGTTCATCTAATAAAGCTTTAAAGAATGCTGAAATCAGGAGTTTCCTTGCCTGAAGGTAGAAAAGGGTTTTAATTCTTAACAATAACAATAATAATAATAATAAAAATTTAGTTTCAGCTTAGAAGCAAGGTTTTTAATGTGTACTTTAGATGATAAATTCTGATCAGTAATAATATCTAAATACTGATCTGTTGTCATCATTTCAACATCTCATGAAATCTGAGGTCTCTGCTACTCTGAACATCGCACAAACATACATTAAACACCAGCTTATGTTGAGTTAAATAGGCCTGAACAATGTCAAAAGCAGACCGATAGATCACTGTGTTGTCTGCATAGAATCGAACATGACGTTTGCTGAATCATCACAAATGTTATTCACACATAAAGAGAAGTGGATCTAGTTTGTTACGCCTTCTGATGCAGGGAGGAAGGAAGAAGAACCAGCAAAGTGGACTCATCCAGTTCTAGCTGAGAAGTAGTTTGAAAGTCCACTTACAGGATTCCCACATGAGGCAGTATCGTAGACCGTATCGACCAAGGTGACATGGTCAGCTGTGTCAAAAGCCTTCGTCAGATCAATACAAAGAACTGCACAGTGATTACGGCTGTTTAGTCCCCTGATAATGCATTCAGCACTTTAATCACATATTCATTATGGCGTGTTGTTTTCTGAAGCCTGACTGATGCTGTGATAGAAAGCCATTTGCATCCTCTTTAAGCTTTAACAGAATTTTCAAGGACTTCATTTAAAAGACGTAGTTCAGAGATGGGCCTGAGAGATCCCCGTCATTCAGCAAACACTCATCAGATTTACATTCATTAGGAATCTCATTGTTGGAGAGGACGAGATTAAAAATAGAAGTCAAAGGTTATGAAGTCTGCAGCTAACTTCAGAAAGTCAGAATCAGCTTAGGATCAAGATCCTTCAAGGCTCTTTAGCACATCAAGTGGATAAAATTTAATAGAAATGGAACAGAATTGACGAGAGGTGGTAACGAGTGAGTCCTCTGCTCATTAGGCTGCTCATGAATTGGATGTAAAAGCTCAAATAAGGAACCTATAGAACGTAAATATTGATAAGAAAGGCTGATTAATCAACGTACATGTACAGGTACAGGACAGACATGGTAACATTCCCACATGAAAAT